ACATATGTCTTCTTTTGTTTTTTCAAATCTTTATTTTCTGTCGTTGTAGCAGACCATTTTTCAAAGCTTACATTATAAGATATATGTAAAATTAGTTCCATGAATCTAATCCAACAATGTAAAGTCGAAAGCCCATATTGATAAGAATTTTCGTCAACAGGTTTATTTTGTACTTTTTCTAAATGTAGTTACATTTTTCTAATGTGTTCATCTCTGTAGGTCTTGCACCACAAATAGTACATACAGCACCTGATGAAGTTTCTGACAAAACTTGAGCCACTTTCCCGTCAACCATTGTCAAAAATAATGTGTGTTTGATTTCAATACTTTCACCATTTTTATTGATTAAGCTTGTTGTGAGAGCGTTTCTTTGAGCTATAATTTCATTAACTACACTTGTAGTTTTCTCTGGTGTCTCTTTTGAAAATTCTATTAAAATGGGCCTACAAAATCTTACTGATGATGGAACAGGGTTTTCCCACAAAGTTTCATTTGTATTAATATCAACAAGTTTCAGAGGTACTAATGAAGATATAAATAAATTTGTGTCAGAAATTAACTCATCCTCTTCAGTTAAGACTTGCTTGTATTCACTTTGTCCGCTTGAGCCATCACAGCCCCATTTCGAATACAGCATTAAATGTTTTTTGCCAGCTTTGTATACACCATTGATTTTCAAAATTCTTGCAATAGTGTGATCCAGCAGATCTTGCAGTTTTATTTTTGCTGTAATATTATTAATTTCTATGCTTGATCTTGGTGGGTAGCACATTCCTTTAGCTTCCTGAATTGATTTATATGGCGGAAATAATACGCAGTTCTTCGCAATTAAGCAATTTCTCATGTTTTCATACTGTGCCATGTTAAGGTCCAACTCTATAAATATACTGAGAGCTTCATCTTTAGAGTACGCTGTTAAATGTGCCGGTTCATTTAAAAGATTTTGACGTATTTCACTTTTTTATCTTTGGGTAATACTCGTAAAATTTCGACAATGAATGCTTCTTCCGTTTCCCCTTGAGATCTCAATCCTTGAAGATATGAATTCAGTATAAAATCAAGGCCACATGTTTCAAGCAACTCCTTGTTTTTTCGTCTTTGTGTTCTATCGGAACTGTCTTCGTAGGTTTTAGAAGGGCGTCCTCGCTTCCCCGTCGATGTCGAAAGTTCAGATTCACAAGTAGGATCTTCCAGATTTACTGTGAATGTGGCATTCAACCACAGGCTATCTTGATTCAAAAAAATTTCTTTATTTCTACCAGATTTAGTGTAGCGTTGACGAAAGTTCGTAATAAGATTTGTTTGTACACTCGCGACAATTTTAGCGATATTTGCCTCAGAAAAGTTGATAAAAATATTCCGTATATAACTTGTTAAAGCAACAACATAATTCCCGTCACTTTCAATCAAAACAAGACATAGGTCGCGTCTGGTACATTGGAATTCACTCATTGCGAGAGAGTAGGTGGTTAGATACACTTTTAGTAACGACAATAACGAACGAAAAACAGTATGTAATTATTCAGTATGCAGATGCTCTATTTTATATTAAATAACTGATTTGAAACGTATGCAAAGTATGGGAATAAAAACTATTTATATTATGTGGTTACTCGGTTTCCTATGTGTTTTATTGATAATTTATTTTGTAGGCGAACTAAAAATGGCGAGAAATACTCGATACATTATCAAAACATAAACCGCAATTAATAATATATTACAAGTGTAACCTACATCAACTAATAAAACAAATAGATTCGCCCACGTATTTTTAAGAAATTATTACTTTTTCATGTTATGATAGATAGCATTATGTTGTGCAATGAAGTTGCAACTTTTTTTTTCTTCCTGTATAAAAATATTAAATTTCCTATCAAATTTGAAAGTTTCAGATACGCAAAAATGATATGTCATGAGATAAATATTATATTTCTAGTAAATATATTTATAAATATATAGCATATTTGTGTATATCAAAAAAAAAGTGTATATTATAAGCTTTCTAAAATGGTATAATACTTGTATAATTTTCATTGCTAGCTTACTAGAAAATCATCCTGAAAAAAATACAAATTATGATGTTTTCGTGATAATTTTTCAATCATCGTATTTAGATGCTCTTTACTATAAAAAAGTACTAGTTACATACATAATTTATACATAATATAGTAGATCAACTTCTTAGCTATAGTTTGAGGTATAATACAAGTACCTGCGCCGATTTTTACAAAATGTATTTATGGCCAAGCTCTCTTAGGAACCTTCACATAGTGCGGCGGAGTACCGATAAGTAACCAAGACGGTAGTAGATATTGTTTCATCAGTCACTCGATGCATAGCATAATGAAAGATGCGGAGTCGCTAATGCAATTGCGTTAGAAATTATATTTATATATTTAATTTTTGAATTTTCCCTTACCATGTCCTGATAAAAATAAACACAACAAAAGAAGAGAAAAAAAAAATACTTTTCCCTGCAGTATTTTAGAAAATTGAGGCAACATAGTAGGTACATTTTAGCGATTCCTTTTTTTTATTTATACAGACAGATTCAGTCTCAACCACAATCCGCTTCCCGTTTACACGTAAATTATGAATAAAAATCGTAAATATATATATATATACATACACAAAAAACCGACCAAAACGAACAATAAACCGATCCATATAAAATATACATTTGATTTAAGTTTGTTCTGTAAAGAGTCCGCAACAGTATTATATATCTATCTTTTAAGAGTGACCCACTATAACCTTAGCATTATAACATTACAACCAAGCAACCCACTATAACATTACTTATTTACCATACATAGACAATAAAGTTTTGAGAATCTTAAAAAGGAGATATCCGAAGTTCAATAAATGTCTTTCGAAGGTAGCTCGACAAAGTAAATAAAAAATCCTTATTCTGACGATGCAGACCAGGGGGCCAATCGCCTAACTGGATTGCTTTGGAAAACGCTATCGCTTACGATTTCATTTTGTTATTTCTAGCCGCCTGAGGTTTTCAAATGCCTCGCGCTCTTTTTTTTTCTTTTGCATTGGTAATAACAATGTTAAAGAAAATGAGCGTGAGGTATTTGAAAACCTTCGGCTGTTAGAAATAACAAAATGAAATCGTAAGCGATAGCGTTTTCCAAAGCAATCTGGTTAGGCGATTGGCCCACTGAAAAGGCTGCGAAACGTCAATAAATAAATAAAGTTCGTGCATTATAGTACGAGAGCCCACGACCAAAATTTTTGTCTCATAGCAATACGGCCAAAACCGCATCAAATCGATAGATACGATTATCTTGAACTCGAAAATACCAATATCAGACATTTTCCGCGTAGCGTTTGATCTGACCGAATTTTCAAAATTGTCAAAGAATTTTACCGAACTGCATCATAGCAATATGTCTGATTTGCAGACTGTAGTTGAATGATAGTTCTGAGATACCGGAAACATATTTTTCAGACGTTAGTGGTGTAGCGCAAACCCGTATAATCACTTAAAAAAATTAAAAATGAGACAAAAAATATGTCTCATAGCAATACGTCTGAAAATCTTTTTAATTAGTAAATTTTGGTTATTTGATGCGAACAAAACAATTTTCAGACGGACATGTGAACGCATTAAATTTTGAGACCGTTTTGAAAATGTTAACAAATTTTACCGATCGGTATCGGAGCAATATGTCTGAAAATTGTTGGACATGATAAAATAAGTTGTCCACACGTGCAAAAAATTTATATCAGACAAATTAAGTGTAGCACCTTCTCTATCGGATAACTTTTCGATACTCAGATATCATTTAAAAATCGGATTGAGGCATCTTGAATTTTCTGTTACAAACCAATGAATACGTTGCGACCTGAATTTACTTTTACAAAAGAAATAAGTAATGACATCTGTCATCTGTCAAAGTACATATAATAGACAAGGGAGATTCTTGAATATCTATGAAGGCAGTAAATTTAAAAAAACATTTAACAGAGGCGTCGGCAAGGCGACTCCGAAACGTTATTTTCGTTTTTGGGAGTATATGCTACACTTAAAGTGTCTGAAAATAGGTTTTTGGTAATCATGGCAGCAATTCGAAAAGTTGTAAAAAAAAATTATCCGTATTGCTACGATACAGGTCGGCTAAATTTGTTGACATTTTCAAAAATGCGCTCAGGCTATATGCTTCGTAATACAATTATAAAATCTATGTACATTTTCACTATCAGACGTATTGCTATAATACCGACTGTCTTTTTTTTGACACAGCAGAAATGGCCTCCCACGCAGTTGCTACACTTTCGACCGTTACTACACACCTAGTCGGGTTCAGAATCATACAATCTAACGATTTTATAGGGTTTTTGCCGTAATGCTATGAGACATGGTTTTGGTCGTGGGCTCTCGTACTATAGCCCGTTATTAAAACTAGTTTTATTTAATGAGTGATGTGCGTGAAAACCTAAGAAACAAATATATAACCTATTTTCTCAACTTTTCTTTCGTAAAACCGCAGGACACTTCTAGCATTTATAAAACCTAAACCTCATATATTTCGAGTGTGTCGCCATAGTAAAAAAAATATCTATCTGACCAGACGCTTCAAATGATACTAGTTTTAAGTCGGTTGAGGGGTGGGGACGTTTCTTCCCATTGTCCTTTAATATTTAAATGAATGTATTTTAACAAATTTATAGCGAGCATCTGGTTTCATGAAGAATAAGCGATTCTTAATTTATTTTATGAACATTGACTTGTTAAGCTTAGTACTTTCCGAAAATACTCATGTAGTCTTTTTTACACTCACCAGCCTTACTCAGAGATGTCATATACCATTCACGTTTGAGTTTCTTTGCGATAACAATGGAATAACAGAAAACGTGACCTAAAGAAACATTATAATAAATTGTCGTCTGTGCTGGTATTTTAAAATCTTGCACTCGAGTTGGCGACCTTAACGTTTTTATACATAGGCGGAAATCCATAAAATTAAATGCAGTTTTTCTTTTTGCAGTGGAAAGCAGCGGTGACCGGCTGCCGATTACTTCGGGCAGGCCCGGCGAGCCCTCCCCGCCTATATTCGAGCAGATCTTCAAGAATGCAAGGTTTGCGCAAGGCGGGAACGCCAAGTTCGAGGGCAAGCTGCGAGGTAACCCAACGCCTGTCGTCTCGTGGACGCGCAAGAAAGCGCCGCTGGTCGAATGCAACAAGTACAGCATGAGCTACAACGAGCAGACCGGTGACGTCTCCCTACTCATCAAACAGATCGGGCCCGGAGACGAGGGCGAGTATACCTGCACTGCCCGCAACCAGTACGGCGAGGCCATCTGCTCCGTTTACATCCAGCCCGAGGGCGTCCCTGTACCTGCTCAGCAATCCCAACAGCAGCAGAGTTACCGCCACGTCAGCGAGAGCGTCGAACACAAATCCTACGGCACGCAAGGGTACACCACTTCGGAACAGACCAAGCAGACACAGAAGGTGGCGTACACCAACGGTTCCGACTACTCTTCCACGGACGACTTTAAGGTGGATACGTTCGAATACAGACTCCTCCGAGAAGTTTCGTTCAGGGAATCCATCACGAAGCGGTACATTGGCGAGACAGACATTCAGATCAGCACGGAGGTCGACAAGTCTCTCGGTGTGGTGACCCCTCCTAAGATAGCACAAAAGCCTAGGAATTCCAAGCTGCAGGAGGGAGCCGACGCTCAGTTTCAAGTGCAGCTGTCGGGTAACCCGCGGCCACGGGTGTCATGGTTCAAGAACGGGCAGAGGATAGTCAACTCGAACAAACACGAAATCGTCACGACACATAATCAAACAATACTTAGGGTAAGAAACACACAAAAGTCTGATACTGGCAACTACACGTTGTTGGCTGAAAATCCTAACGGATGCGTCGTCACATCGGCATACCTGGCCGTGGAGTCGCCTCAAGAAACTTACGGCCAAGATCATAAATCACAATACATAATGGACAATCAGCAAACAGCTGTAGAAGAAAGAGTAGAAGTTAATGAAAAAGCTCTCGCTCCGCAATTCGTAAGAGTCTGCCAAGACCGCGATGTAACGGAGGGGAAAATGACGCGATTCGATTGCCGCGTCACGGGCAGACCTTACCCAGAAGTCACGTGGTTCATTAACGATAGACAAATTCGAGACGATTATAATCATAAGATATTAGTAAACGAATCGTGTAATCATGCACTTATGATTACAAACGTCGATCTCAGTGATAGTGGCGTAGTATCATGTATAGCACGCAACAAGACCGGCGAAACTTCGTTTCAGTGTAGGCTGAACGTGATAGAGAAGGAGCAAGTGGTCGCTCCCAAATTCGTGGAGCGGTTCAGCACGCTCAACGTGCGCGAGGGCGAGCCCGTGCAGCTGCACGCGCGCGCCGTCGGCACGCCTACGCCACGCATCACATGGCAGAAGGACGGCGTTCAAGTTATACCCAATCCAGAGCTACGAATAAATACCGAAGGTGGGGCCTCGACGCTGGACATCCCTCGAGCCAAGGCGTCGGACGCGGCATGGTACCAGTGCACCGCCCAGAACGTCGCAGGCTCCACCGCCACTCGGGCGAGGCTCTATGTCGAAGTACCAAAAGAGCCTCCGCCCGAACAGAAGCGTCTTCATTTACCGCGGCCTACCAAAATAATTGAGCCAGAGTAAGTTTTACTTTTAATTAGATTGAAATTAATTACCTACATTATTTTATTTACATAATTAATTCAAATTACATAATTGCCATTACATAAAAATCCCCAAGTACCTAAACGACGAGATTATTTCGATATCAAATATAATATAATCAAATAAGTATATGGTGCTAATCACGCTTATCAAGAATAAATAATTAACCTAACTTAATACTATTGGAAACTCGTACATAACGGTTACAACTTACAACAATACGTAAGTTGTAACCGTAATGTAGGAGTATTTGGTTAACGTTTATTTATATAATATTTTAACTGTTTCAGGCCTGCTCCTGGTCCAGAGATTATATACCTAAGGCACGTGGAAAGAGCAAGACCTTTTATTCCTCCTGGCGAGGAGGACCGTGTCTATCCCCCGCCACAGTTTATTGTGCCACTTAAGAGCGTCACGCAAATGGAGGGTGGCAAAATACACTTTGAAACGAGGATAGAGCCGGTCGGTGACCCAACCATGAAGATAGAATGGTTAAGGAACGGACAAAGCATTGAAGCAAGTAAGTTTGTTATCAATAAGGTAGTCTGGTTAGGTTATCACAAAATTCAACTTTTAATCTGGCTACTAAGGTTGAATGAATTATAAGTATGAGCTAGTACAATATCACTGAAACTAATTAATCTTTTCATTTTAGGTTCCAGATTTACTTCGGTATTCCGGTTTGGATACATTTCCCTCGATATGCTCAGTCTAAATATTCAAGATAGTGGGGAATATACATGTCGAGCTGTAAGCGCTACTGGCGTTGCAGAGACTAAAGCTATGTTACAAGTAACACCGCGAGCAACGATCGAAAGAACGAGTCAACACCCGGAGAGCTTACAGTACATTCAGCAGTTGGAAGACTATTCTCGGTACCAACATCAAGAGTCAGTCGAGGATCAAACTTCACAGAGACCACAATTCATCAGGCCGCTCCAGGATCTTGGCGAACTTCAAGAAGGAAGGAACGCACACTTCGAAGCTCAACTGACTCCTGTCAGTGATCCTACCATGAGAGTCGAGTGGTACAAAGATGGCAGAGCAATTACAGCCAGCTCGCGAATCACGTCAATCTTCAACTTCGGTTACGTCTCCCTTAACATCATGCACCTACGGGCTGAAGATGCAGGTTCGTACACAGTGAGGGCTGTAAACAAATTAGGCGAAGCAGTCAGTACCGCCTCGATCAGGGTAGCTGCCAGGAGTACAGTTACTGCGGATCTTGGAATACCGGAACAACGACGATACATTGAAAAGACTGAGCAATTAGAAGCATATCAACAACAGCAACACCAAAAATACTATCAAGAAGCTCCTGAAAGCACACAGAAGCCGGAGTTCAAGACACCTATTAGAGACCAATTAAATATTAAAGAAGGCGGTTTTGCACATTTTGAAGCTCGTCTTGAACCAGTAGGAGATTCTACCCTTAAGGTAGAATGGCTTAAAGATGGACGCCCAGTTGAAGCTAGTTCAAGAATTACTACATTTTTCAACTTTGGGTATGTAGCTCTAACTATAAAATCAGTAACTATTCACGATATCGGCCATTATACTTGCAGAGCATATAATGCTCTTGGTCAGGCAACTACAAATGCTAATCTTACAATAATTACGAAGAAAGATATTATTGCCGAATCTCAGCACCCTGGAGGATTAGAGAAAATTCAGCATCTGGAAGACTCCAGCAAATACATGAAACGATCAGAAGAAGAAGTTAAAGTTACTCAAAAACCTCGATTTTTGGGACCATTAAAGGGTACTAATAAGATTGTAGAAGGCCAAAGTGCACATTTTGAAGCACGAGTAGAGCCACAAAGTGATTTGACTATGACAGTAGAATGGTATTTCAATGGAAAACAAATTACGTCTGCAAATCGTATTCAAACATACCACGACTTTGGGTATGTTGCCTTAGACATTTCCAGTGTGCGCGCAGAAGATACCGGCGTATATACAGTCGTTGCCAGAAATGCAGCAGGAGACGCACAACTGAGTGCTTCCATGACTGTAGAAAGTAAGTTGTACTAATATTATTCGTATTAAGCTTTTTTTGTAAAATTTCATTATACATAAATAATTATGCTATTCATTTGTTTTCAGCACGCTCCAGTATCGACACATCTAGCATTCATAGGGGACTATATGAAAAGACAAGACATATTGAGGAGTCTAAATTCGTAGAGCCGATGTATGAAATTGAAGAAATTTCGAAATCAAAACCAGTATTTGTACAACCACTTTCGGATCCTCAGCCAGTATCAGAGGGTAAAAACATCCACCTTGAATGCAGATTAGAGCCAATGGGAGATCCAACTATGAGAGTTGAGTGGTTCCACAATGGCCGACCAGTAACTGTTGGCTCACGCTTTAGGACTTATTATGATTTCGGCTTTGTAGCATTAGATATAATTCATGCTACATCTGTTGATTCTGGAGAATACACAGCCAGAGCAGTTAATCACCTAGGATCCGCCCACACTTCCGCTATGGTACGCGTAATCGAAAAGTCAGATATTGTTACTGAAACTCAGAACGAACAAGCTGTAGAACAGATCCAAATGCTTGAAGATGCTGCCAGAAGAGGAAGGCAAGTTCATGAAGATATCACAGTTATGCAAGCTCCACAATTCTCAAGAGCACTACACAATATTGAGACTGTAGAAGGAACAAACGTTCATTTGGAATGTAGATTACAACCTGTTGGAGATCAAACAATGCGCGTAGAATGGTTCTGCAACGGAAGACCAATAAAAACAGGCCACAGATTTAGACCTGCTTATGAATTCGACTACGTTGCTTTAGATTTACTGAGCGTATACCCAGAAGATTCTGGTGTATATACTTGCCAAGCAACAAATCAGCTCGGTGAAGCAGTCACATCTTGTGCTTTACGTGTAATTGCCAAGAAAGACTTGATATTTGACTCACAACATCCTTCTGGTCTTGAAAAAATACAGTACTTGGAGGATACATCGCGATACAAGAAGAGTGAAGTAATAGATGAGTCTATTAACATCAAGCCTCATTTCGTTACCAAACCGAAATCCATTGAAAATGTGATTGAAGGTAATCATGTTCACTTTGAATGCAAATTGGAGCCAGTCACTGACTCCAACCTCAAAGTTGAGTGGTTCAAAAATGGCCAGCCTGTAACAATAGGTCACAGATTCAGGCCGATCCACGACTTCGGATACGTAGCTTTAGATATAATTGACTTGATTGCGGAGGATTCCGGTGTATATACCTGTAGAGCCGTTAACCTCATGGGCACTGACGAAGTCAGCTGTAAATTATCTTGCCGCGGAACCGCGGATATTGTGAGGGTAACTCAAAACGAGACCGGATTCGAACAAATCCAAGTTCTGGAAGACAGATCTAAATCCCACAAAACCGATGTAGTCGACGAAATCACAACACAAGCACCTATCTTCACCACTTCTTTGAAAAATATCGAAATTAAGGAAGGTCAGCGTGCTCACTTTGAATGTAGATTGATTCCCGTCTCTGACGCAACTATGAAGGTGGAATGGTATCACAACAATAAACCTCTAAAGAGTGGGTCTAGATTTACAGAAACCAATAACTTTGGTTTTGTGGCATTGGATATTATGGCATGCTTGCCTGAAGACTCGGGGACGTATACTTGCAGAGCTATTAATGCTCTAGGTGAAGCCGTTACTTCTGGCATAGCGATTGTACATTCTAAAAAATCTATCTATCTAGAATCACAGCATGAAGGTGCTTTGAACAGACTGACTCAACTGGAAGATACGTCCAGATACCAAAAGCATAGTGCCCATGAAGAATTCACAACACAAGCACCAGTATTTACTATGCCCATGAAAGATATTAGAGTAGCTGAAAATCAAGCTGTTCACTTTGAAGCCAGACTTATTCCCGTAGGAGATCCAAAATTGCGAGTAGAGTGGCTGCGCAATGGTGTACCTATTGAAGCTTGTGAGTATACAGATTATCATATTTAACTACATATGTATATTCCTTAAAAATATTGTATTAACGATGATATTCTTTTCAGCTAACCGTTTAACAACAATGCATGACTTCGGTTATGTTGCTCTCAACATGAAATATGTAAACCCAGAAGATTCAGGTACATACACATGCAGAGCAATCAACGAACTCGGTGAAGCTGTAACATCGTCTACACTCTTCGTCCAATGTAAGTATTGAAAATCTTTCAGCGTTATTAATAATAAAAAATATATAAGGTTACTAACACTCTTATTTCTTAACAGCTAAGGCATCGTTGCAACTGGAGTCTCAACATGAAAGTGCTTTAGAAAAAATTCAACAATTAGAAGATACCTCGCGTTATCAACGGCGGGAGGACGTGGAAACAGCTGTCAACCAGGCTCCTAGATTTATTACTCAACTGAATGGCCCCTCGAAGCTTATTGAGGGCCAGAGTGCACATTATGAATGCCGTATAGAACCCTACCCTGATGCAAATATGAGAGTCGAGTGGTACTTTAACGGCAAGGTACTGCAGAGTGGACATCGTTACCGAACTGCCTATGATTTTGGATTTGCCGCTCTCGATATCCTTACTGTGTACGGGGAAGATTCAGGCGAATACACATGCAAGGTTATCAATAATTTAGGACAAGCAACGTCTTCAATAAAATTAAACGTACAATGTAAGTATAAACTTTTGGTGCAAAATACTGGACAACTATACGCTTAAATAAAAAATAAACAACATGCAGTAAAAATAATTTATTAAAATCTTATTATTTTAGCTAAGGAATCTATTATAAGAGACACGCAACACGAGAGTGCACTAGAAAAAATACACTACCTAGAAGATGATAGCAGATACAAACGCGTAATCCGTGATGAAAGCTTCATCGCAGAGAAACCACAGTTCGGTAAGCCGCTGAAGAACGCTCAGGTAGCTGAAGGTCAGCCTGTGCATCTTGAGGCTACGTTGACGCCGGTGAATGATCCCACAATGCGCGTAGAATGGTACTGCAACGGAAGACCAATCCAACAAGGCCATCGCTTTAAAACTACATACGACTTTGGATATGTTGCGCTAGACATTTTGTATGCTTATGGCGAAGACTCTGGCACTTACATGTGCAAAGCAACTAACGCTGTTGGTGAGGCTGTTACTACAAGCTCAGTGAAAGTGGACGGTTAGTATTTATGACTGTTATTTATATTTTTTATTACTAATATTATATTAGAATTAATGTTTCATATTTTTTATAAAAAATAAGGTGTTTGTTTAAATAATAGTACACAAAAATATAAAATGCGGTGTAAAATTAAAAAGCTATAAATACATTTTGGTTGTAGCTAAAGCTGGGTTGTATCTCGATACAATGGATGAACAAAGATTAAGAAAGATTCAAGAGTTGGAAAGATATGAAAGACCGAAAGCGGTGGAAGAGGAAAAACCGGGTCAACGCCCAGTCTTCTTGACTGCTTTGACTAGTCTCGAAAACCTAAAGGAAAGTGACCGAGCCCACTTTGAATGTAGAGTTGAGCCTATCAATGATCCAGACTTAAAGATTGAGTGGTTCCTAAACGGACAGAAAATTAGAGCTGGCCACAGGTATAGGACGACGCATGATTTTGGATACGTCGCTTTGGACATCCTGTACGCATATGCTGAAGATTCTGGAATATATATGTGTAAAGCAACTAACAAGCTCGGTGAGGCAGTCAATACCTGCACGTTGAAGGTTGCAGGTAAGCTTACTTTGTGTGTCATGTAAATATATTAACACATATTAATAAAATGTCCGTCGATATTTTACCCATTTTATTATTATTTGCAGTCTAATATTGGATAACATTGATTGTAAGCTAATATTAATTTTTCAAATAAGACAAATATCAGTAGGTATATGTCATGTCTCCGTACTAAGCTAAAAATAATTGTATTTTTTTAGGGCACAGAAGCATTATTTTAGATACACAACATCCAAATGGCTTAGAAAAAATAAGACAATTGGAAGCACAAGGACACCATACCAGAATAGAAGTGGAAGAACCTAAAATAAGTCCACCAAGGTTCACAGCTGAACTCAGAGGAACAACACATGTGTTCGAGGGTAAAACAGCACACTTTGAATGCCAGGTAGAACCAGTGCACGATCCTAATCTGCGTATCGAGTTCTACCACAACGGCAAAGCCCTGCAATCTGCCTCAAGGTTCCATATCACTTTTGATTTTGGTTACGTGTCATTAGATATCCAACATTGTGTTCCCGAGGACGCAGGTGAATATTCTGTCAAAGCCATAAATGCTCTTGGACAATGTACCTCTTCTATATCCATGACCGTAACCGCAAAAGGCAGTATTATATCGGAATCTCAACGTCCAGAAGGTTTAGAGAAGATCCGAGAACTGGAATCAGCGGAACCGTTCAGGCGTCCGGATATTCCGGAACCAGTTACTAGACAGAGGCCCGTTTTCACTCAACCACTCCAGAATATTGACAACATTCAAGAAGGCCAGACAGCACACTTTGATTGTAGACTTATTCCTGTAGGTGATCCTACACTTAAAGTGGAATGGTTCAGGAATGAAAAACTTATTGAGGACAGCTCTAGAATTACTAAAACGCACGATTTTGGTTACGTCTCAATGACGATCTCTCATGTGCGCGATGAAGATGAAGGCGTATACATGTGCAGAGCTTCGAATCTGTTAGGAGAAGCAGTCACCACTGCTGCTATGAGAATACGCAGTAAGCAGTTTTTTTAGTTATTTATCCAAATTGCATTTAACTTTTAATCTTGGAAAATATATTTTCCATCGTAATCTTGCGATAATACTGATACAATTTCTTACAATATTTAAGTTTTTACCCAACTTATCCATACTAACATAATAAATGCAAATGTCTTTCTGTCTGCTATCTTTCAGGCTTAACTGTTTAGATGATAAAGATAGTTTAAGTACCCGGCAAAGGACATAGAATTGTTTTCATCCCAGAAATCATTCGGTCATTAAAAGTTTCATGTTTTTTTCAATTAATGTATAATAATAATTATGATAATGTTGCACTTTATATTAATATCATAAAATTATTTCATTTTAAAAGCAACTTTATTTTAATAAAACAATTACATTCAATAGCAAAGGCAGCGATACAGATGGACACACAGCATCCAGAGGGCATGAAGAAAATACAACAACTGGAACAACCTCAGGCCAGGCGACCGGAAGAACCAGAACGCGAGTTCGAGAAGCCCATCTTCACTCAAGTTTTGACTGGACCTTCGGAGCTTTGGGAAGGACAACACGCTCATTATGAAGCGCGTGTTGTTCCTGTGGGTGATCCAAGCATGCGGTTCGAATGGTATATTAACGGCGTCGAATTGAAAATGGGTAAGATAAATGAAGATTCCTTATGCGTGTTATATTTAATAACACTTCGAGGATTACATTTAGTTATTGTCATTTTTTTGCAGGATCGCGTTTCCGCACCACACATGATTTTGGCTTTGTCACATTGGACATTAATTCAGTGGTAGCACAAGATGCTGGTTTGTATATGTGTAAAGCGATTAACAGAGCGGGCAGTACAGTGTCCTCTACGTCGCTGAAAGTAAAAACAAAATCAACTATCGTGGATCAAGCTATGAGACCAGAGTCTTGGGAACAAATTCAAGCTAAAGAAGCGGCAATGAATAAAGTTCCCGAAATGTTTGTCGACACAGGTGTACAGCAAGCCCCTATTTTCACTACTCATCTCAAGAGCTATGATAAACTGGTCGAAGGACAGCATGTTTTCTTGGAAGCTCAGGTAGAACCACGTACAGATCCTAATCTTAGGATAGAATGGTTCAAGAACGGCATATCTCTCACTACTGGTGCAAGATTGAAGAGCACATTCGATTTTGGACTAGTTACTCTTTCCATCAATGGACTAAGAAACGATGATTCTGGTATTTACACTTGTAAAGCCACTAATTTGATGGGAGAGGCAGTGTCTACAGCTTCTATTAAGATAGAAGACCGCCATTGGCTATTGGGAGAAACTCTTCATCCTGAATCATTGGATAGAATCGGAGCTCTAGAACAACCCAAGCCTGAAAAGCCTGAATCACCTGAACCAGTGTATGAAACACCTGTCTTTATTTCACACTTAAATAATATCCTGTGCAAAGAAGGAGATAACATTCACTTCGAATGCAACGTAGAACCATCTAGAGATCCTACACTCAAAATTGAATGGTTCTTTAATAACAAACCTTTATCATCAGGGACTCGCTACAAAAGCACACACGATTTTAGCTATGTCTCGTTAGACATCACACACACTTATGAAGAAGATTCAGGGATCTATACATGTAAGGCTACAAATAGCAAAGGATTTGCCACAACATCTGGATCACTTAGGTGTACTGGTGATAAACACATTTACTTTGATACTCAACATCCACAAGGCAAAGCTGGTTTGGAGGCTGTTGAACAAGCCGAAGAAGCAAGACTTTCGAAGGGAAGACGACCATCTGTTCCGGATGCTGAATATGCCAAACCTGAATGGGTAGTCCAGATTGCTTCTGAACAACAATTAATTGAAGGACAAAACCTTCACCTTGAAGGTCAAGTAGAGCCCAAGAATGATCCAGATTTAAAAATAGAGTGGTACTTTAATGGTAAAATCCTTGAACAAGCTTCTCGGTTTAAACTAACTAGTGACTTTGGTTTCGTTACTTTAGACGTTACTGATGTGTACGAAAGAGATAGTGGAATTTACACTTGCAAAGCATATAATAAGAGAGGTGAAGCATTTACATCTTCTACAATCTTATGTATTAGCAAAGAAAATCTTATAGAACGTACACAACATCCAAAAGGCACTGAGGGGTTGGAGAAAATTCAAAATCTCGAAGAGTCTTTGCGCAGAGAGCCAGGCCGTGGACCAGAAGATGATACTGGCAGAGCTCCCGAGTTTACCACAGTCTTCAAGGATATCGTTGACATCAGTGAAGGACAGATAGCTCACTATGAAGCATCACTTATACCCACTGGTGATCAAAGTATGGTTATTGAGTGGTTCTACAACGGCAAAACAATTGAAGCCAGTCATCGCATTCGGACTGTATATGCATTTGGTATGGTCGTTCTCGAAATTCTTGGTACTAAGACCACTGATTCGGGCATTTACTCATGCCGAGCAACTAACAGGTGGGGACAAGCTGAAATAAGTGTTAAATTAGAATGCGTTGACAAGAGCAAGGGTCAAAAACCAAGGTTTACCACCCATATTCAAAGCATTGAAGGCCTCAAGGATGGTCAATCTGCTCATTTCGAATGTACTGTTGTTCCTGTCGATGACCCTGACATGGTAATTGAGTGGTATCATAACGGACAGCCATTGCGTCATTCAACACGTATCAAAATGGTGTCAGATTTTGGTTTTGTTGTGATGGATATTTCCTACACACAGAACCATGATTCGGGCGAATATGTATGTAGGGCTTATAATAAATATGGTGAAGATTTCACTAAGGCTACGATCAGCTGCTTTGGAAGAGGAGGCGTTTATTCGGACAGCCTGCAGCCCGATTCTCTGGCTAAAATAAGAGAATTAGAAAGCTTACAAGGTGTACAACAACAGGCACCAGCAGCTGCTTCTGCAGAGCCACCGAAGTTCTTAACACAAATTCAAGATGTAACAAAGTTGGTCGAAGGACAGAGTGCCCACTTCGAAGCGAGATTAATACCAGTAGATGATCCTGACCTTAAAGTTGAGTGGTTCTATAACGGAAAGAAATTGCCCCATGGTCATAGATACAGAACTTTCCATGACTTCGGTATTGTCATTTTGGATATATTATATTGTTACGAAGAAAACTCAGGAGTTTATGAATGTGTTGCGACTAACAAATTAGGAAGAGATTCAACTAAAGCTACTCTTAAGTGTACATCGAAGGAAAATTTGATCTTGGACTCGCAACTCCCGCGGGTAAATAATTATTTCTTTGCATTTATTTGATAATTTAAAATGCTGAAATAGCATAATTTTGCTTCTCTTTTAGAAGGGATTTAATATTAATTACTGATTCGTGCAACGATCATGAATCTTTCTTCTGCATCAAAGTTCCTGGGTTTGAAATCTAAGAGGAATTTATTTGTGTAATGAAAACAAATATTTTTACCTCAATCATGGTGGTTTATATTCTTTAAATAATTAAGTTTTTAAGACAAGTGCCGCTTAATTTGGGACTAAATTGAAAATGTTGAGTTGTCTGAAATTTATTAATAATATTATTAGATACTCTTATTTTTTTTCTTTTAACACAAATGGTTGTTATATTTTAGGGCATGGAAGGAGGATTAGAGAAGCTACAAACCTTAGAAGATTCAATGATCCGTAGAAAAGATACTACCGTTGAGGAAGAGAAAGGTAGAGCTCCAGTATTCACTGTTCCTCTGTCGAATATTGACAACCTAAGGGAAGGAGAGAACGCCCACTTCGAAGCGCGTCTCACTCCTACAGACGATCCAAACCTGAAAGTAAGTTATATATTTATTAACAAGTTACAATATACAACAAACCAACTATCGTCAAGAATCTTAAACATTATTATTTATAATTTCTTACAGGTGGAATGGTACTGGAACGGTAAATCACTTAAAGCGGGTTCAAGATTTAGAACATTCTGTGACTTTGGCTTTGTCATCCTTGAAATATCACCCACTTATCCCGAAGATTCGGGAGAATACTTGTGCCGAGCATACAATAACTATGGTGAAGCGGTTACGACTGCTACAATGAAAGTACAAGGAAAACGCAATATCATCTTAGAGTCACAGTTACCAAAGGGGATGGAAGGTACTATTGATAAAATTGCAGCTCTGGAAGGCTACACTGGAACAACCGACTCGATGACACCTGAAGCAGAAACAGGTAGCCCACCTGAATTTATTACGACGCCTTCTGATTTAGTGCTGTCAGAAAATTCGTCAGCTCACTTCGAATGCCGGCTAGTTCCTGTAAATGATTCCAGTATGAGAGTAGAATGGTTCCATAACGGAAAACCTCTTTTGACTGGATCTAGAGTAAAGACCATTAACGACTTCGGGTTCGTTATCCTTGAGATCGGAGGTGTATATCAACGTGATGCTGGTTTGTACACCTGCAAAGCTACTAACCGACACGGTGAAGCAACCGTGTCGTGCAAACTACAGGTAAAGGGCAGACAAGGCATCATACTTGAGCCCCAGCTTCCATCTCATTTTAAATCTGGAACTGAAAGCATACAGAAGTTAGAAGAAACATTGCATAAACGAGAAGAAATAATGATTGAAGATGAGAAACCAAATCCTCCAAGATTTACTGTAGACATTAAAGATAACCTAGATGTACCAGAAGGCGGCCCCATTCACTTCGATTGCCGAGTGGAGCCCGTTGGAGATCCAACAATGAGGATCGACTGGTTCTACAACGGAAAAGCTTTCGCTACTGGCTCTCGCGTGCACATGCTTAATGATTTTGGTTTTATAGCTTTGGATATCGATTATATTTATGCACGTGACGCTGGTGAATATACGTGCAGAGCAACTAACAAATGGGGCTCAGCTACAACAACAGCTAAGATAACATGCAGCGCCAAGCGTGATATAGTACTTGAATCACAACTACCACAAGGTATGAGTGGTGAAAAGATCAAGGAACTCGAAAGAGGTCGAGTCACAGATGTGCCCAAAGATGAGCCAGTGGTTAGTTCACCGCCACGATTCATTACACAGATTCAATCACACACCGTGGAAGAATCAGAAGGCGTGCGATTTGAATGCAGGGTAGAGCCTAAAGAAGATCCTAAACTACGCGTAGAGTGGTACCGTAACGGAAAACTTTTGCCATCTGGCCATAGATACCGCACAGTCTACGACATGGGATTCGTTTCTTTGGACATTTTGTACGTTTACGCTGAAGATTCTGGTGAATATGTATGCAGAGCCGTGAATGACTTCGGAGAAGATTTTACAAAGGGATCGATTTCATGCAAACGTGAGTATAACTACAAGTAATGTAACTTGTTTTTTGTCCTGTACGAAAATTGATTTCAATATTGTCTATTATTTTAGAATTGCCTGATATCATTTTACAAAATCAAGTACCTCGTGGTATGAAAAGATCCGAGGCATTGACACAAATGGAAGCCACAATCAAGAAATACACTTCAGAAATCTATTTGACTGAAGATGACCTTTATGATGCGGACAAGAAGCAGCCACCACGTTTCGTTACACAAATCCAAAGTCAAACCACTTTAGTGGAAATGCAATCTACTAAGTTTGAGTGCCAATTGGCGCCAGTTGGAGACCCCAACATGAAAGTTGAATGGTTCTTCAATGGAAAGCCTCTATTGCACAGTAAGTTTTATATCTTAATATAATTTCACACTACTCTATCAGTATAAATAATGTGATGTAAACATATATATTTTTATTTTCTTACAGAGAACAGATTCACTCCCATTTACGACTTTGGTTACGTGGCAATGAACTTTGGATGGGTGTATCCTGAAGACAGTGGCGAATACGTCTGTCGTGCTACAAACTTGTACGGTATGGATGAAACCAGGGCTATGATCAAGACGGCTGGCAAACCCGGTATCGTATACGACTCGCAGCTTCCTAAGCACATGAAGAGCATAGAGAAAATCCGTGAAATGGAAGCATCGTGGCAAATGTAAGTTTTTAGGAAATATTTTATTTTATAATAGATAGCCAATGTTGTAGACTTCGGATAGCATAATCAAAACAATCTTCCATAAACAGGGCACCCGAACAAATCATCGAAGAAACAAAAGCACGTTCAGCACCAGTATTCGTTAGCCGACCTGATCCAGTGACAGTTGAGGAAGGAGAATGGGCTCGCTTCTGTTGCCGTGTTACTGGACACCCCAAACCACGAGTCATGTGGCTATTAAATGGCAATACCATTGTTAACGTAAGCTTACGCTTTTCTATCAATTTGTAAAACATCCTTATATGTGTATATAATATCAAAATTAACATAACTTTATTTCTTTATAGGGATCAAGATATAAATTGACATATGATGGAATGTACCATTTCGATATACCAAAGACTAGACAGTATGACACAGGAAAAATCGAAGTTATTGCTAGGAGCTCTGTTGGAGAAGCTTTGGCTACGACCGAACTTAAAGTAATTCCGAGACATGACGATTATAGAGGTGTTCTAAAGAATGCGCCACGACGTAAGTATCTGCAAAGTTACAGTGATACAACATTTTGAATTGTTACAGACTAGACTTATCTTAAGAACAAAAAAATTTTTTTTTTGAAAAGTTTATACTGATATTACTTTTACGTTATGACAAATACGCTTTCAACACTGCTGCTCTAACACACTTCAGCAATATCACGCACACACCAATATACCGCTTTAGCACAAATAAAAACCCTTGCTCTCCCATGCCCTCCCCTGAAATCCATAAGAAACCCGCAGCTAAATCACCTGCTTGTTCCGGCTTAACATCGGATTCTTGAGGAGGTATGTTTTGATGCATTATTATAGCATGTAAAAATGGTTTATGAATTAATTTTATTATTGATTCGAACAGCTTGGTATGATGAAATATCACAACATCAACGCTCTGAAACTGAACTAGAAAAAACATTCGAGGAGAGACAGACCTTACAGCGGCAGGGTGTCATTGATCATAGACCAGAGTTAAAACCTAAAATCATCAAGGAACCTGAAACTGAATGGCAACAAACTGTGAAGAAGAAGAAGGGTGAGGAATATTATAACAAACTTCAAGAACTTGAAAACGAACAAGTCGTTAAGGAAAGCAGGCTGAGGGAATCTACACATCAATACGCTATCCCTGGGGAAAAGATTGCAAGCAGTTCTGTTGCTAAGGGTATGGCCCAACGATACGAAGACAGCTTGTAAGTAGTTTATATTATCATTTCACATTATTTTGTGCTAATTATGTAAATAGCCACCAACTTTAATACTTATGAAAATTAAATTTTCAGGGAACAAACTGAAGAGGTAATTGAACAACAAACTCATAAAAAGGTTGTCCAGAAGCCAAGGATTCCTGATCCATCTGAATCTACTGTACACGGTAAAGAAGTACATGTAGCCAAGCAGAAACAGATTCAGAAAGAGGTGGTTGGTGACACGGAGATTACTCGTAAGATAACATCTACAGAAACTACTGAGGTAGAACATAAAGCTCAGACTCAAGAAAGAGTGGTTGAAGGACCCGTGAAACCGAGCAAACCTCCAGTATTTACAAGAAAAATGCAGCCTTGTCGTGTATTAGAACATGAGCAAGCACGATTTGAAGTTGAGTTCGATGGCGAACCACTACCGACAGTTAAATGGTATAGAGAAAACTTCCCGATCAAAAATTCACCTGATTTCCAGATTCACACTTTCAGCACTAAATCTATTCTTATAATCAGGCAAGTTTTTGTTGAAGACTCAGCAGTATTTGCAGCAGTGGCTGAAAACAGAGGAGGCACTGCTAAATGTAGCGCTAACTTGGTCGTAGAAGAACGTAGACGCCAAGGAAGAGGGGGGGTTATTCCACCTAGCTTCACACTCACTGCCCAGAATGTAAATGTCACCGCTGGTCAACTCGTCAGATTCGATACGAAAGTTACAGGAACGAAACCAATCGATGTTTACTGGCTGAAAAATGGTAAAAAGGTGCAACCAGATATTAGGAACAAAATATTAGAAGAAGACGGTACATATACACTTCTTATTCTAGAGGCATATCCTCAAGATTCTGGTAAATATGAATGTGTTGCTATCAATAGCGCCGGTGAGGCGAGATGTGATGCCGAATGTTTAGTTAATGCTCCAGCAACAAAGGAGAAACCGAAACCTCAAACTAAAGCTGCTAATGCTCCCCCTGAAATCATTGAACCTCTAAAAGATAAAGTCGTCGCTGAAGGTCAAGCCATCGAATTTGGCTGTAAAATTGTGGGAAAGCCAACACCAACTGTGCAATGGTATAAAGGAGATAAGCTGATAAAACCATCGAAGTATTTCCAAATGTCAAGGGCTGCCGACGAGTACACTCTTAGAATATCAGAGGCGTTCCCTGAGGATGAAGGCGATTACAAATGCGTGGCGTATAACTCTGCGGGCCGCGTGACTGTTGCCGCCACCTTGAAAGTTAGCCAGCCAGATCAGGCCGACAATCTCCCAACACTCACACCTCTTCGCGACATCGTGGTCATGGAAGGTCAACCGGCTCAGTTCAAGACGCACATTACCAGCAAGGTCAAGCCTACTATTCAGTGGCTCCGTGAAGGAGCGCTAATTCCCGAGACACCTGATTTCCAGGTAACTATGTTGTTATGTATAAAATAACATTGACTAGTCGACAGATAAGATGATAATAATAAATATTTTTCACCTTTAATTATTTGTTAGCATAGGGCTAAACGAAAATTAGGCATCCGTATGAATTGTGTAACCAAACTGGCGGTATGTGGTTGCAGATGATCCATGAGGGCAACAACGCCGTGCTGTTGATCGGCAACACATACGAGGAGGACACCGGCACCTTCACCTGCCGCGCCACTACCGCCGCCGGCCAGGTCGAGACCTCGGCAAAGCTAGTCGTCAAAAGTAAGACATAGATACAGGCAGCGAGCTCGCGTCGCGCACTTTAATCCATTAATGTAGTGTTTCTTTGTTTCATCACAATATCACTATGAGATCGGGTGAAAACTACTATTAATTAATTCGAAAGTTGACATGCGAATACACTCCATAGATGGCTTCACACAATCGTAGCGGTTTCCGCAATAACGCTCCGCCCGCCCGCTTCCGCGTCGAGTCGTGATGATATGGCACACGCACCGCGGCCCGCGCCGCACCCGCGCCCGCGTCCGCGACCGCCCGATCCCCACGCAGCGGGGGTACCTAACACTGTTCACGAGGCCGACAGTAAACATAACTCAGTAGCATACTTTGGGCGAATTTCCGCATCTAACAATGCTGTACATTTAAGCTTTTTGTGTAAATAGTCCCAGCGAGACGAGCAACGGGGCGCCGAGGACAGCGAACGCCGAGCCGCGCAGACACACGTAACATGTGATTAACACGAACACAAAACATTCTACGACTGTTTTGTTTTGCTTTTACCGCTACGATGTTTACTAAATTATGTAATTATTGTAGAATCAATTTGTTTCATTAGATACATAGCAAATCTAGATGCGTCATTCGACGAACTGTAAAATGTATTTTTCACCCAATACTCTTAAATTAAGCCTGCGCTAGTTAATGATTTATTTGGCCTTATTAACATTAAGAATTGAAGAATCACCAAGTACGCTTTTTGTGTTGAAATTACTTGTGAGACTTGTGCAAACGATCTCAGTTGTATTTACTGTAGAGAACTTGTTCACATCATCGTAAGAAAAGTGAAGCGAATGCCACAACAGGGGCCTGGCGACCGCAGTATCGGCGCCGACCACTACTACTGTAAATATACTACGCGAAAAGAACAAAAAAGTGTACGCTTCAGCTTTTCCTTGGCATGAGAAATGTTTGTACTGTCCAGTTTCGGCGAGTCCCTAAACCTAACAAGCTGCACGCAGCAGGCTGTCGTCTTGTCATCTAACAGCTCCGACTAACTGTGTCAGTGTCCACGCCGTGACTCGCGCACGCCGCGGCCCGCGCGCCGCCCGCGCCTCGTCCGCGACCGCTCTCCCTCCCACCGTAGCGTAGGCTCATTCGCACACTGTAGCCACGTCGCGCGCCTCATGTCAACTGTTCGGTGACAAAGAAACATGTCAGAGTAGAGTCCGCTAGCAGCGCGGTCACCGATCTCGAAGTACGCACGCACCACTTGCCTTGCCAGTTTCTATGTTTTGAAAAAACACTGCCGATGTTTTATGACCTAATGTTTTCTGCAAGTACAAATCCGAATTGAATGAGATTTTATAGTTTAACGTTACAGTGATTTTTAACTTAGTTTGTTTTAAGTGCACGATATTGTTAAAAATTAAATTGTGTTGTATGTTTCACCTAATTGTATTAAGTTATTAGGCGTGGCAATATTTGAACACTAAATATTTTAGTGCCTATCCATATTTAATAATAATATACTTATTTATGACACATTTTTTGTATGTTACCTTTATGTGAAAACTGTTTAATAAACGCTATAAATTAATTATAATTTCGCATTATTCTACACACGTACTGAACATAACGTCGTTAATCCCGCTCAGTAGATTGACACAGGATGTTAGAATCGGAACTCATATACAAATACACGCAACCAGGTACGCTATCTGGAAACCCACGTCGCAGCCAGGCTCGGTTGTCTATTACTTGAGTTTCGGTTGTATCAGATCAAATTAATGGAATCCTCAATGAGAATACTATAATAAATAATGACGACCTTATGCAACATTTTGATTAATATCAAACTCTATAAGAACTCAAGTTACATAGCATCCGATAGTGGCTGATGGATAGCGAGCCCATACCGCTTCATATCATCGGCTGGCACACACTTTCTAAATTCTTCTCTTCTTTTCATATCCATGAATTTGATCTGCGATTTGATAAGTCATATTTTCCTTGCTACTGTTGTAACTAAACAGTTGGCTAGCTTCAATCTAATACTATTTTTATTAAACCTATGAATGATTGTTAACTAATATTTAGAAACAAACAATAGTGCCCGTCCAAATAGCATAGCTATGAATCGAATTGATGATCCCACAAATAATCTACATTAAAAAATAAGCAAAACCGTAATCATATATCGATACCAAAGTTATTGATTGACTCGCGCGCGAAGGGTTCCGTACCATTATCTACAACATTAGACACTATATTATAATATCGAAAAAAAAAACAGGCATACAATAAACCTCTTACAAGACCTGTGATCTACAAGCAAAGAGCTTAGCTTTTTTAATTTTTAGATGCAGTATTAGTGGGGAGGACATGGCATATAGAGATAAGTGGGGACGACAGGGCAATTTTCATCTATTTTCTTAAATAAGTTCATAATTATTAATTTAACATTTGTAAAAAAAAATTTAAACCGCACACTATCATATTTATTTAATATATAACACGGTACAGTTAGCTAAATTATAATTTCCTAATTCACCCCCCAAAAGTAACCCGTATATGTATGAACCAATTTTCAACTTTTTCATCCAGTATATACCGAGCAAATGGACTGTGACAGTCAGACAAGCAAGTGATCCTATAAGAATTCTGTTTCTTCCGATTGAGGTACGGAACCCTAAAAAGGCATTGGAAGACAGTGCTGATGATCTTAGGTGAATCAATTCGCTTCCTCTAGCTACAATTCAGTCTTATACTTATCACACATACAGTAGAAATAATTAGGAATAATAATAAAATTAAATGACACATAAGACACTATTGAATCAACATTTACTGTTTAATATAAAATGAATGCGAAGTATACGAATAATGGAAGTTTACATTCATATGTCAATTATTAAGATTTACTAAGCAATTCAGGAATGTAAACTACTATTATCGATGAAGATCGAAGAATGGTTACGTCTACGGAAAGAGAAACAACGAACGTGATGACAAAGTAAGTATTGAATGTGGTAAGGGAACACTAAACACGAACGAACGTACTCAATATCGTCGTGGTTAATGTGGTGGAAATGGTAAAAGTTTGAATATGAAATCTACAGTCTAGTTTTCACCGAATTCAAATGTTTTTGATGTAATGTCACTATAATAAAGATCCAATTATCTGTCAGGATTCTTTCTCACTTTTAACGATACAAAAATCAGAAGAATACTGTTATTATTTTACCCCCTTCGAATAAAGATATTTAGACAAGTTACATTTAATAGAGCAATTATATTAGAATCACATTAATTGTAAATTATTAAACAAACTTGTTTTAAGTGTAAGTATATGTTTTTGTTTAAAAAGTTCTGCTCAATCGTTTGTAGCTACTAAAGGTACAAATATCGACATTATCTACAAAAACCGTCCATATTGTACCTTTCTATCGTAACATTAGATAACATCTAAAATACATACTATACTACTTTAGCAAGGCAGATTTATGTATGAATTATTAAATTATTCAGCTTTCATATTACACAGAAAATCGGACAAGTGCGTGTCGCGCCACGCGCAGTGTAGGGTTCCGTAGTTGCCCGTCGTTACCACAACATATTCCAGAAGGAGTCTTTATTTTAAGAAATTACTTCATCTCAGTCACTATTATTTTTTTTATTTTAAGGAATTTTTGTTACGTAAGATTTTTTTTATATATAACTTGAACGTCTCTCTCTCTCTCTTAAACTAAGTGATCTATTATAAACGTTATAATTTTCCTTAAAAGTGCATGCAATGATATCACCATGAATTTTTCCAGATTTTTCAGCCAATACTTAGCTTTTAGAGGAGGACCTACTAAATCGAAAAATGGTCTTAACCCCTAAGTCCATCCTTTTAAAGGACCTTCACAACGATACCCCACACGATGGGATAGATAATGAAAAAATGACTACCCTAAAAAACATATCTTCCTAAATTTTATTCTAGCATTTTGTCGGCGTGATTGATATACATACCTTCACAAAATTGTATCTCTCTAGCGCCAATAGTTTCTACGCAAAACCTCGGATGGACAAACAGACGGACTTGGTGAGACTATAATGGTTCCTTGTGTTACTACGGAACAAACGGACATTCGGAGTAATACTATAAGAGTTCCATAAAAACATGTTAAAAGAACGTTCATGTAAATTACTATTCTAGCTACAATTTCAGGCTTTTCACATTTTTCTCGCTTTGTGTCCTCGAGCCGTCTTATTGGACCCTTAGTTAACGACCATGTTTCGCTTACGTGAGTCATCACTGATAACAGACACAGGTCAAAGACTTCTTTCTTGACACAGGTTTTTTTATATTTAAAGATCTTACGTTATTTCCCAAACGCTTCCTATTCAAGCTATATTCGACGAGAGATTTCTTTTTCGAAGTTGGACTTATCTAATAAGAAAATAGTCTTATTAGTCCCGGGTCGAGTCAACAACTTCGAATGTTGAATTCCCAATCTTGACTGGATCGATTACTATATGGACGTTCAACATAATTTTTGTCTTGTCCATATTCGTCTCGAGACACACTCTTTGGGAAGCACTACCATGATCAAGGTAAAAGACAAAAGGATTTTTTAATGCAAAATACTAAACCCGACGACCCCAAACATTTTTTTACTAGACTCTGTTAAAATTACGTCTCAAAACTTTCTAGAGTTGCGTGTTCTCGTTATCAATTTGTATGAGAATTTTCAACCCATTCTAGTTAATTTCTTAGAAGCAGTAGTGTAGGGTACAAGCTCTAGGAACCACTTAATGTTTATAACTCAAATGTCAAAATAAAGAATGAACACTCGCCTGTTGTTAGGATATTCTTGGAAAATTAGCATTAAATTATATTTCACATTCTGCAGAAGCCAAATCAAAGCATACCTGAAAAATAAAAATCTTGTTTAATAATATTACAACTACTCAGTTTAAAATAATAGCATTCCAATAAAATGAGTGATGTGCTCAGAATTTTCCGGAAATAGACATAATTTTGATGAATTTTG